TTCTAGAAAACCAGGTCTCCGAAGGCCTAGCAGCAAAAACCATTGTCATATTCGGAATCAGCATAGTCGATAACCTATTCTCCACTAGATTTCAACAAAAAAGCGAGCGGACACTTGGGGCAGTTCCTTCGTTAGTTTTATTTAAAATCTTATTTAACCGATACTTCTAAAATTTTAGAATCTAGAATCTGTTATATTTATATCGTAATTACATTAACGAGAACGATTTTACAGATATCGAGAGATCTGTACCTCCTAGAGTCTGTCGAATAATTGAAAACTTCAATAGTGAAATTTGTTAATTGATTTTAGATGTTTAGTTTGATGAACAAATGCTGTGATATGCTCAATAAACGTCTCTTAGAGTATGCTGATAAACATGAAATGTTTGAAACTAAAGAGTAGGATCAGATCTTTCTTTTCTACTTTGACATTGATTTGACTATTTTCATAGATTAATGAGTGCATTTACAATAGACAATATTGCTTCGTGTCTGTTTGGCGTTGAAATAAATTCACTTAACAAGGAAAACTCGGTGTTAGTCAAACATTTGAAGACATTTTTCGACGTATCATTTGCAAACCTTTTCGTAATCGCTTTTTGTACGTCCTAGTCCTCATAATTTTTCACATCTACTCAGTGATCATGTTTTTTGTTTAGTTTTTGCACCTCGTCTCGCATCATATCTGGGCAGAAAAGGCTTTACGATCACTCCAAAAGCATCGAATGATTATATTATCAACCTTATACATCAGATTCTCGATCAGAGACGACAACATATTGAAGTAAGTCACATTCACCAAAAAGACCTTTCCGAATATTTTGCTACAGTAGGACTGAAATTCTTACCAAACTCCCAGTTCCCTTTCAGAATTGATCTAACTGGATTGAACTTCACTTCACACATCGCAAACTCTCCCAGGCCTACTGTCTCCTCTCCTTCGTGTACATAGGCACACGTCTGGTTGGATAAGTAGAAATCAATTATCCTTCTTTTAAATTATAAGCTTGGATCGTACTCGTCCTCCTTGCCTTCCTATTATTCCTAAATAAAATTTTCTCCTTTTTCTCCTTTTTGGTAAAAAATGGACAAATTGGCTCTTTTATTAAACGCTGTTCTAAAACCAGTCACAGCCACGTTGGCTGGTTTTAGAACAGCGTTTAATAAAGGAGCCTTCTTAAAGGCTTAGTCATCATACATTGCTTCTTATCTCTCACTCAGTACCGTGTGTTCTTGTAGTGATCGTTACAATATGACCTGAGTCGCTATTAGTGCGATAGTTTATTGACTATGAAAAATCTAGTGGACAATGTGACACATGTTTCGCATATGCATTATATAACATGATCCAAATCCGAACATTTATTCGAGTATCCACACTAGAATAGAGCAGACATTTTTGCAGAGGATTTTTTGCACCATATTTTATTGTCTACATATTTGAACATACAGATTGAAAGTCAGAATTCACACGTAATTTGATATCGTAATTTGATCATACGATATACACAGCAAATGTAGTGGTTACACTTGTCAGAAACATGGTTAAATCTACCGTGCCACACTCTAAAAAAAGTGTGACTTACGATCAAGTTTAGTCACATCTTCCTGGAAGAAGACATATTAGACTGAACTTGTTTCGAAGTCGCATTTTTTTTAAAGAGTGTAGCACAGTTTTCAGTCGATTAAAAAAATATCTCATAAATTAATACAAGAAATGTATATATAAATGACTCTTTATTACACCTGTGTTTATTATTTCGGTTCGATATTAATCTAGATTAGATAAATGAAAAAATTAATTGCTCAGAATTAGATCGCATTATAAAAGACAAGCAAAACTCTTGTTCGCGGAAGACTTGGTGAATCGGAATTTTTACTGGAAACTACTCGATACTACTGGAAGCTCCCTACCGAGACCCGACTTTTTCTTGGTTTTATTTATAAGTTTCTCCTTCATTTATTAGTTTTATTGATATTCTAAGATACATTTATCATAACTCATATACCTGAAAAAATATGTTACATCCTTTAATCCTTAAGAATTTCTATATGATCGAAGCCTGACGAAACCTTTTTGTTATATTGAATAGTGATCTGTTGCTAATATCTTACGCAGAAAAACATGCGCTTTAATTAGGTCAGTTTGTCTTGATGGATGCAGTCAAGATCAGGTCTGAAGAGGGAATACATACTACCCTATACTTCTTCGTTCGGCTATCCCTCTACACTGTAATCTTGAATTAATTTCCAGTTTAGAGAAAATCGCCGGGCATTTTCTAGTTTATAGAAATTCCTCGACGAATTTCCAGCTTTCTGGGAAATGTTGATTTTCTACTTTATAGAAAATCGACTTGATTTTCCATAAATTCGATTTTCTATAAACGTGGAGAATCGCTGAGGATTTTCTATAAACTGGAAAATCGCCGGCGATTTTCTAGTTTATTGGAAATCAATCGAATTTCTATAAATAATTTCCAAGAATCTGGAAATTCGATTTTGATTTTCTATAAACTAGAAAATCCTCGGCGATTTTTTGGATAGTAGAAATTCGCCCAGGAATTTCTAGACCAAATACTTATTCATCTTTTTGTTTTGCAATCAGTGTAGGTATAAGAGCGTCACGTAAAGACACTCATTTTACACTTAAATCAACTTTGACAGTTTCTACTTTAGATTACAGTTCTGCCTGTGCCAGCAAGAATTTTGATTTAGGCAGAGACAGTGGTGGCGCGAAGTTTTGGTAGGAGGGTCCGAAAATCCGAGACGTTCACCAGAAATTTCTCAAAAGCATGAGCGGGATCAATCCCCATACAATCTAGTCGTGCTGCCACTCGGTGTAGACCCGCTAAAGAATTCCACTGTATAAAAAAACAAAAAGAAATTTCTACTTTCTTGAAAATTATTTATGGAAATTCAACGGCAATTTTCTAACAAACTGGAAATTCAAAGAGGATTTTTCAGATTCTTGAAAATTATGTATGGAAATTCAACGAGGTTTTCTAGCTTGTTGGAAATTCAATTTTCAATAAACTGGAAATTCCTTGGGGAATTCTCATAGGTACTCTTTGAAATTCGCCGAGCATTTTCCATAAATAATTTCCAACCTTATAGTGTACCAGTGAAGGAGCAGAGTGTTATACGTACATATTTTAAAGGTGATCTATGATGTGACTGGAAAGGTGTCGTCCAGTGACGAAAATTTGATTGTCACTTCATCCTTGAATAAACTAACTCGTCCAAAAGTTCAGTTCATCTTTTTCTACGGTATTATACCAGCAAGCCCTATCAATACACTTGAAATGTCATAATCGATACGAAAGCGCACGTATAACTAGAGCATTTTGTTTCGTTGTCTAGAGACGCAATGATTTTATTCAAATAATGGTTGATCACGAAGAAAACATAGAGAAAGAAGTACAGGAGAAATCAGAAAATGATAAGACATCCACATATCAATGGAATAATTTGAAAAAAAGTAAATGATTCAATCTGAGGAGTTGATTCGTTCATAAGATTTTTTATTGCAGCTTTGACTGATAAAGAAATCGTTGGACAAGCAATAGTGTTTTTTGTAGCTGGCTATGAAACAACATCGGTATTATTATCATTTTTCATGTATGTGATGGCTATTCATCCAGAAATACAGGAAAAAGTTCATGATGAAATACGAACAGTTATCGGCGATGTAAGATGACTCAGTCAGTCTCTTCAAAATAAGAAATTAGTTTTTGTTCATTCTAGGATGAGGTGACGCATGAACGAGTGAACGAGTTGCCTTATTTAGATATGGTATTAAATGAGACAATGAGAATATATCCACCAGTAATGAGGTGAGATAGTTGAAGCGCGGTATGCATCAGTTATAGACCAGTTGTCTTCGACTGTTTTGTGTGAAGTACAGGAAAATTAATATAATGCGTTACAAAGAATTGTTCTGACTTGTGACATGTCTCATTTTGTAGGGAAATGTTTGGTCGATCGATTTGAAGACCTTGATTAAAAGACTAAAAGATACAAGAGAAAATTTTTTTGATGAATTGTCAGAGAGGTACAAACAGTTAGAGAGAACTATTGACCAATTATCATGTAGTTATAGTATTCTACTGTAGATTATTTATATTTGTATGACAATGAATTTTAAACGTTTTTCTTTGCAACAAATACGTAAAGTCAACATTTCTCTGCAAAATGAGATATTCTGTCGCTCGGTATGATTCTTAATATAATTTTTCCAGATGTCCTGACATCAGTTATATAACCAGTGCATAACTAGTTGACTCTTATCAATCGAAGATGGAAGATGCAGTGCCGAATTCTATGGTAAAGAGAATAGTCATGTGAACTAATATGCCCCACACAACAAGTATTTTTCTAATAGCAAGCAAAGATCAGAGTACTTTTTATTTGTAAATCACTTTTTCATGAATATTTAACATTGCTTAGTAATCGCTGATACTTTTCAGAAAAGAAAATCGTTTTCTGAAATCTGTCTTACTGGTGCATGGGAAAATTTTCGATGGATATTTTTTCAATCCAGGTCACATGTTTCGATGCAACCCGACGCACTTACGTTTCATCATGCTGCCATATTCGAGGGTTTTCAAGCAGTTTCTCCAGATTTACATGACTAATAATTCTGCTACATCTTATTAGGTACAATGATGTGGGCGGCTTAGGAAAACGACACTTTTGTGATTGTAATAATTTACTAAGAGTCAATTAAGTGCATATTTTTCATCGTTAAAGTAAAACTTGAGATTTACTTGTTTAAATGATGCAAGAACGAGCCGCACATGTTACCAATTCGTACGAGTCTATCGATGCCGTATTCTTGAAACTTGTCAACTGCAGACTATGTTTTCTCGAAAACTATATGAACTTTCTAAAATATTTTTATCTTGGATACTAAAGCTCTCTTCATCGGTTAGATTCAATTTGCTCAATTCACATTTTTGTTGTTCGCTAACTGACGGATATTTTTCCAAATCGGAAGTATTCTACGAGTAATTGTACTAATTATTCTAACTTTTTTGTTCAGATTTGATCGTGTAGCATCGTCTGCGTACCAACTCAATGACTATCAATTGCCAGCTGGGCAAATAATTGGCGTACCGATTTATCCTATACATCACGATCCTAAGACGTGGCCCAATCCTGAGCAGTTTATACCAGAAAGGTGATGACGATGTTCTATCTAATTAAACAAAATAAACTGATGTGCAAAGCTATTCTAGATTTTCTGCAGATGAGAAAGCAAAGCGGCATCCAATGAGTTTCTTGCCATTTGGAGACGGACCACGGTGAGTTAGACCTTCATTTAGCGATCATCATTCAACCGATTCTTGTTTTTAAGAAGCTGCATTGGAATGAGATTCGCGCTTCAAGAAGCAAAAGTAGCCATTGTCAGAGCACTACGGGTAGTTGAAATTGAACGATGTGAAAAAACAGAGGTAGGTCATATTTTTGGTTCGATTACAAATAAGTTTTGAAAGTTTTTTTGGCGGATATTTTTTAATCTCACACGTTTGATTAACTTGTAATGTTTATTCACACAACTCTTAAATGAACTATATGAGATGAAAGATTAATTCTTAAGCAATACGGACAGAGAGTGAAAGTATAAATTTCGATTTGAATTTTCTTCTGTAAAAAGTTTTGCTATTAGTACAACTTGTGCAGATAGGACTGTTCTCTCTTTTGATAGTCAAACGAAAGCAAACTGCTAATTCAGTGAAGAGAATGCAAGGTGCTCTGTTGTCTCTGCAGATTGTTTGCTGTCAAAATCGACATTGATTATTTATCGAATTATCGAGCGAGGAGGAAAAAATTCGTTGTTAATCTTTTATATGAACATCTATTTAGATACCATTGCAATTGAGTAAACTTAGCATAATGTCGGCTAAAAACGGTATTTGGTTGCGTGTATCACGACGCTCACAGTGAAATACGACTCATTGAAATACTCACGCCTTTTTCAAATATAGTACTTTTTCCTACATTTCTAATAAAAGCTTCTTCTCTTAGTCTACTAGTTTCAGTGTTCGGATGTTGGCTGCTTATTTTTTGTATGTATATGCTCTGTTCTGTAGTACGTATGTGTGACGCGCTAAGATTTTCCCGTTACAATCTAATAAATTTTGAAGAAAATGTTATTAATGGATTATAATGCATTTTATACAAGATGAGTCCTACCATAACAGCCACGACGGATTCTTTAGAGTGATGCCTAAACAACTTTTTTCTGAATACAGTCAACATTTATACTCAATTATGATGATTTCTGAAACAAAAGCGCCTTTTCGCAAAAGACAGGAATGATTGCTTGAAAAGAATTTTTATAAAGACTAATCTATACCACCTGTCGAAAACACTTCACATCAAAGTTCATTACACCAGTTTTGTTTCTTGATAATAAATTAACGGATAAAAAGATTAATTGTATGAGTTTAACAATGATTGTTTTAACATCATTATTTTATTTTAAAACAGACTCTTTCAATCACAACTCCGATTATCAGCAGCAGTGTCCAAATATATGAGAACAAAATAGAAAAAGAAGTTGAACATATACAATTAAGTTCATTATATAAGCCTGTTTCCGACACAATCATAATTCAGTCAACTCTGTACTTTATCGGAATGAGGATCACTTTCGATTACTGAAACAACCTACCTAAAAATCCAACAACCACCAATATTTTTCTGTTCTGCAAAACTACCTGTCTGAGGTATCGAATCCTATACACTATCGATGAATTTTGTACTGTTAAATAACTGCATATAAATGATAATCATGTGGCAAAATCTACCATCAGAAATACTATCAAGACGTATGAAACGAATTAACGATGATTTATTTAAAAATCATCGAGAAAGTCATTGATTCAGATTATATCCAGTAGAATCTTTAGTAATTAGGTCCACATGTTGTGTGTTAAATGCAACTGATAGATCAGTACATTTATACATTTATCCAAATGGTACTGCCAAGAAATTATTAACAAGAACGACTGGTATTCGAAAAGTGCCATCTAAAGCACTATCTAACTTAAATGAAGAGTAGTAGCTATTATCAGTTGAAAACCTACAACTCGGTATCTTATCTGTTTTTACCTTGAACATTTTTCTCTCTTTCTGAAAATGTTAATGATTATCTGTCAACAACGACCGTAGTTGATCGAAAATTGTAAACTAAATAAGTAAAACTGTTCAAGGTCAGTAAAGCAAGGTTCCAGGTAGTATATTCTCTTTTATCTAAAAGTATTTTTATACAATGCTAATTAATTATAGTACCAATACACTTCGGTTTCTCATAATAACTACTATCAAGTGTTCAACATAAAACTCAAATACCAAACATTATTAAAATGCAAGACTGTTATCACTTTTCACTGATTTTATAAACTGATAGTGTCAGCCTCTTTTGAGTCTTATCATATTTTTATGATAGCATAAACGAGTTGATCAGTGAAACGTGACACATCGGTGGTTTGTCAAGAAAGATAAAAAAGTGAATGTGATTAACAGAATACATTAAATTATTTAATGTTTTAATATAGAACGTCGCTCGTACATAGTGAAGCTTGGGAAATCTGTTTCAAATATTTTCGAAAATGTTTGTTTATTTGTGTTAATGATAGAGCTATTATCATATCTTGATATCAGATATATATTCACGGACATCTGACTGAAAGACTTGCGCGTATTATTAAGTCACAAGCATCTATTTCTCAAGCAATACGATACCATCAGACATTCAGACACTTTGGTTTTAATATGGATCGACGCATATTATGGGTTCTGATGATATTATCAGTATATACGTTCCAAACATTGGCTCAAACATCATGTCAAAATAAAGCAAGTTATAAAATCGCTGCTGTGGTCCAATATCAAACCAAATATATAAACTATACTATTGAAGGTATTTTAAAGTATTTTAGCTCGTCAAAATGTTTTCAGGTTCAGTCATTCCTTACAAACAATGATAGATTTCTAGAATTTGAAACTGTTCACAATTTAGTAAAAAAGAAATTCGATGGTATAGCTCTTTTTCCAGTTGATGCTCAATCAATCCATTATTGTGGTCTATTAGCCAAATATAGTAACGTGCCGTTAGTCGATCTTTTCGGTGATAAAGGTCTTAATGCTAGGGCGTACCTAACATCCCTTGCTATTGTTGACTCAGAAAAAATTGGGAAAATGATAGCTAATTATTTATTAAAGAATAGTAAACCAGGTAAAACAATCGTTATCCAAGCCTTTTTCACTGAGGGCTTTTCCACTGGTGTCAGCAATGGACTTAGTAAAACACTAAACAATACTAAATTCACTATAGTGTTCAATGGACAAGGTTTTTACAGTAATCAAGTGTCCAAAACTATTATCAAACAAGCTTTGACGGAATATCCAGATGCAACTTCGATTATCACATTTTCAGGTGAAATGGGAAATGGTGTCGCTGATTATTTGAAAGAACAACATATAAAAACTAAGACACATATATCAGTCGATATGAATGATGTCCTTGAAAAATATATTCGTGAAAATGTCTATGTACAAGCATCCGCATATTATTCAGGGGCTTTAGCAGGTTATTCTATGGCATATTCATTAAAGAGAAAAATCCTTGGTAATAAATTTCTTTATGCGAAGAATATTCCAGTGATAGTAGTTACAAAACAAAATATAGATGGAGTGCTCATGCAAAATCCATATCGCTATCCTCAATTTGCCAATAAAATAGTATTTTAAATACATGTGAACAAAATTCAATAACTTAACGAACGGTTTAGGCCATTCTTTTGTTTCCATTTTCATAAATATTTCAGCTAACTATAAGAGAACGTATATGAGTCTCGCACAGATTCAGTAAAGAGGAACGACATTCTATATTAAAACATTAAATAATTTAATTTATCCTGTTAATCACATTCATCTTTTTATCTTCCTTGGTAAACCACCGATGTGTCACGTTTCACTGATCAACTCGTTTATGCTGTCATAAAAATATGATGAGACTCATAAGAGGCTGACACTATCAGTTGATAAAATCAGTGAAAAGTGACAACAATCTTGCATTTTAAAAATGTTTGGTATTTGAGTTTAATGTTGAATACTTGATAGTAGTTATTATGAGTAGGCGAAGTGTATTGGTACTATAATTAATTAGCATTGGATAAAAATACTTTTAGATAAAAGAGAATATATTACCTGCTTACGTCCGAGTACGAGAATACGTTTTTCAACAATATATTTATTTGTTAAACAGCTAAAGGAGTTGTAGCCGATTTGACTTTGACAAGATTCTGAGATCATCTTGCAGTTCAAGATTATCGACAAGTTTTATTACAAAATCTGTCTTGTAAAAACTTGATGAATATATGTAACTGATTCTAACAGAGCAATTAATTCGTTATTAATTAATTAGCAGAATCTTGACAGATTATCGATATCTGTATAAATCTTGAACAGTTTTTGGGTTAGTTAGGTATTATTTTCTTTTATCTTTATTTTTATCTACTGTATTCTATGGGGCACTCGGTAGTACTGTACTGTACCAACAGTACATCAAAATTCACAGCTCTTATGGTACTGTTCAGACAATACCGAAGCTGTTCAGTCGAACATTACGTCCGTAACGAACTTGAATATTTTTCAACTTTTTTACAGTGTAGATATATGGGCTATATACAAGATCTTGATCAGATTTTTTGATGTATTTGAACTTGCTGTTCTTGAACATTCTGTATAAAGATCTTGATCAAGAAATTTTAAGAAGCAGAATCTTTAAAGAACTTGTGCAGATTTTAACTTTGCGCAAGACATGGGTGTACTGATCTATCAGTTGCATTTAACACAGATCATGTCGATCTACTAGTAAGTAGTAATTAGTGGTAGTAATTACTAAAGATTCTTCTAGGGATAATATGAATCTATGATTTTCTAGATGATTTTTAAATAAATCATCGTAAATTCATCGTCTGCCCTTTGTGAAGAATAAGACAGTAGATACTTTTTATATATATCACCAGGTATTTCCATTGGTAGTATCACACTTTACATGAAGGTGCACCTCATTCGATAGAGAATTCAATTCTGAACAAGAATAGAATATTTAAAAATGTTTTAAACGTTGACGCGGGGTCTAAAAATCGGTCGAGAGATAGCGTTTTTACGCATTTCATCGTGTTTTTGAAAGCAGAGTTTTTCATAAAGTATTAAAGCTGAAGAGACGAAACTTTCAGGATATAACCTAGAGACCATGAGAAACAAAAGACTCTCTTGGACCAAAATTCCAGAGTGCTTAGGTATTGTACCACGCTCATCGTAAAATTGTATTGCACAAAATTGTTGCACCATATTTGTTTGACGATTTCCAATGGCAAGTATTATATCTTCGACAGTTGGCGATTGCTAAAATTTATCTAGGTTGTTGGACATCTGTGTTTTCTTACCGTTATTGTTTGAATGTAGCGTTGAGTGATGCCTTCAACGATAGAAATAGTTTCTGTGGTTAAAGTGTTGATCAACTCTTGAGTCGAATTTGTTCCACTGATCAGTAAATTAGGTATTGAAGATGATTGTTTATCAAAATGAGAAGTGTAAAGGTATCGTTGATGTGTGTTAATGCTAGATCCTGGAAAGTACAAGATGTTGATCGGAATTTATTAGAAGACCAATTTCTGAAAATTGCAATCTCATATCTGGGTATTTGTTCGTCATGAATTGCTTTCCAGATAATTATCGCTGAATGAATCTAAACAGATTGAAGAAAATGCTGGATATCAATTTAACATATGTTGATAGACCTTCTGTTTGTCTTGGTTTTAATTGATGAAAAGCCTGGATATGATGATCTTTCGCATCGAATTTGAGCATACCTCTTCGTCCTTCAAGTTCATTACGCAAGTAATATTGGTCTTTATATACAAGATCAGTAACGATACCCATGAATTTATTCGCATCTGTAGAAGACAGTGCTTGTTTTAAATGTTCATCGAGTTCACGTGTATTTTCTTCAATTTGTTCTTGAAAATACTTGCGATGTTGCCATCAATGTTTTTCGTCGACCATATGTATAATACATCGCATGAACTACAGCCATTTTTGGCGATACTTGTCCAGTCCAAATATCCTCTGTCATGCCAAGATTATAATAATAAATCCATTGTTCATGTAGTAATTTCGAATAATTCAATTTATTGAGTAACTGTGTAAGTTGACGGGTAAATATCAATATTTCTTCATTATTGAATAAACCCCCCCCCAAAATAGAAGGCCACCCTATATTAGAAGGGCACCCTAAATAGAAGGCCACCTCAGAGGCAATTCTGTAAAATCCATATTAAAAGGCCATGGCCTTTTATTTTGTCTCATGATGT